ACACGGCTGGGTTCACACCAACTGAGGAAGATTGAGGTGAATTCTACCAGTCGGTGGCTAACGTGTCCACATCCTTTACGTCAGGGGCGGCCAACCCTGCTTTACATCGTGCAACATAAATTGGCCTCTGTGTGTGCGTTTGCATTGACCTTGTATTTAATCTACATGCAAAAACTTCACATTTTGTGTGACTCCAGCATAAATAAATTTTTTCTCTGCCTTCTTACTCGGCATGCCCTGTGAAATTAAAATAATTTTTCCTAGATGTTACAATCAGCATGTTAATTTTAGGGAAGTCTAAAAGCTACTGTGCTCCAAAACAGTGACACAATTTGCGTTTAAAAAATATAAATCTGATATAAACCACTGATCTACAGTTGAAATCTGAATTATTAAACCCTCTTTGAATTTGTTTTCCTGTTTTAAATATTTCCTAAATGATGTATAACAGAGCAAGGACATTTTTACAGTATGTCTGATAATTTTTTTTCTACTGGAGAAAGTCTGATTTGTTTTTATTACGATTAGAATAAAAGCATATTTAAATTTTTTAAAAGCCATTTAAAGGTCAAAATTATTAGCCCCCTTAAGTTATATATAATTTTTTGACAGTCCACCGAGCAAACCATCGTTATACAATAACTTGCCTATTCACCCTAAGCTGACTAGTTAACCAATTAACCTAGTTAAGCCTTTAAGTGTCGCTTTAAGCTTTATAGAAGTGTCTTGAAAAATATCTAGTCAAATATCATTAACTGTCATCATGACAAAGATAAAATAAATCAGTTATTAGAAATAAGTTATTAAAACTATTGTTTACAAATGTGTTCATCATCACATGAATATGCAAATTAGTAGCAGTAGATAGATGAATAGATCTATGCATCTTCATCGGTGTATTATTCACAGTGAAATAATCTGTTTCATTTTGTTTCAGGTTTTGCAAGATGTCTGATAATAGTTCTGAGAATGCAGACTATGATGCAATTATTTATAATTTCACAAGAACTGACAATTTTGAAGAAATACCTCAAATTCAATTTGTCAACAAAACCAACACATATCCTCACGGAATCAAGATGGCCTACTTTATTATATACTGTATCGCTCTCATCTTTGGCATCACCCTCAACTTCTCCGTCATTGTCTTCGGCTGCTACAAACATGAGTGCCTCTCGAAAGCTGCTATTTGGATCATGGCACTGGCAGCAACAAATTTAGCCTCCTGTGTATCTGTCGTGTTTCAGCTCCTGTATGTTTACAATGACTTTAATTGGAATTATGGGGATGTTAGCTGCAAGCTGTCATCTTATTTCACCTACTGCAGCATGTTCTCCACTGCAAGCATGCTCTGTCTTTGGAGCATCAGTTTTTTTTTCTTAGACAGCGAATGCTTCAAGAGCAAAAACTGTAACGTTATAATTTTATTCGCTTGTATTATTGCAGCAATCCTGGCATGCCCTTCGCTGTTATCAAGAAAGGTCAGAGAAGAACAGTGCATTGATGACTATGATTTTCATAAAAATATAGAAACTTTAGATAAAATCCAAACACTACAGACTGTAGTTGTCATGCGATTTCTCACTGGACTTTTGGGGCCAGCTTTGATAATATTTGTCAGCTGTCATGTGGTATCAAAAACAAAGAAATGTGAAACATGCATGAAGCAGGCCAAATTCATCTGTGCTATAGCGATCATCTACTTTGTGTGCTGGGCTCCACAAATTTTCTTGACTATGCTTCAGGCCACTGTAAGCAACATCCTGGGCTTAGATATGCTGGATTACGGTCTTCCAATAGCTACTATGCTTGCCATGAGCCACTGTTTTATAAGCCCACTCTTTTATCCGTTTCTGAGATGCAGCCTTACAATGGAGTGGGTGATACACGACACAAACCATCATAAGGATGATCAGCATGATAATGAGGAAAAAGTTGCCTTGAAGTATAGAAAGCAAAATGAGGTTTGATGTTGCAAGTTTAAAAAAAAGTAATGATAAATGTATAGGATATGTAGTATGCAAACTGATAATGTATACCGCATACATTTATTTCAGCTAAAAAGTGAACCGTTTCTTTAAAGACCAATACATCCTTTGCTTCAACCTCTTCACATTTACTCTTTCTACTTAGCAGCCACACACACTGCTAAAAGAAGCATTGCTAATGGAAAAATATTCAGCCATTTTTGTTTTCTGTTGTATACTATGTATTGTTTCTCTTTGAATGTACTATCGTTGCATTGCAGGAGTGAAATAATAGTTTCATTAGGCACAATATATATATATGGCAGAGTGGCTAAGAGGTTAGAATGTTTGCCTCACAGCAAGAAGGTCACTGGTGAATCCCGGCTGGACAAGGAAGCCTTTCTGTGTACTCTGCATGTCCTGTCTGGGTAAAGTAGGGATTAAGTCGAAGGAAAGTGAGTGAGTGAGAGGTATACAGTATATGTGTATGTTTAGAGAGATGTAAATAAGAGAATGAAGAACTATACATGTTTTTTTTACTGTATGTGTTTTGTATGTTTATGTAAAAGCTTATAGGATTATCTACCATTTAACCAAAACAATAAGTCAAGTTTTAAAATAAAAAATTACAATTATGTGTACATTATTCTCTTTACATTATTCTCTTCCATCGAATAGTAAAAAGGCTCAAAAGAGCTTACGCTTATAAAAACAAAAGAGAAAGAGAGTTAAAATAACACTGCAGCAAAATTAAAGTTCTGACTGAAGAGAATGATGAACTCCTGCTGTTAAAATACAGAATCGCTGAAGAAAAGCACAAAATCACAACTGACATCAGTCACAACCTGCTGTCCACACACACATGGGTATTCGTCCACACAAAAAGGCAGTATGAGGTAATTAAAAAATACATTTTTGAAAACTTTGGTTTGGCGAAGATTTTTAAAAGCACCAGGGTCTGTGTTTTTTTGAAAATGCGCATTTATTTTTTTGGCACCAGATGAAAGACAATCCTGTCTTGGTTGTTTAAACTAAATTTTAACCTTTTTTTTTTAGCTCGTATCTTTCTCTTTTGTCAATAGCAAATAGCAGAATCTTTGTATAAACAGGTGTCTGCCTACCTTGTTTTAGAGCCGGCTCTTGTGTTGGATGAGGAGTTATCTGAAGTTTCCAGTTCTGGGTTAATGCCCAGCAGCCTCCTTGGGACGTATCCCGGACAAGCCCCCAAATTGTTGGACTTTTCCTGGTTCTCCCAGGCTAAAACATCAGTCAGAGGCTTTAAATTAGTTTAATCAATTTAATTATTTGACAAATAAAGTGTTACAGAGCCCCAGGTGTCAGAGAACAGCCAAGATTGTGCAAAGCAGTGATCAAAGCAAAAGGTGGCTACTTCGAAGAACCTAGAAAATGACATATTTTCAGTTGTTTTACCCACTTTTTGTTATGTACATATTTCCACATGTCTTAATTCATAGTTTTGATGCCTACAGTGTGTACAGCGTGGGTTTCCTCCGGTTTCCCCCACAAGTCCAAAGACATGCGGTATAGGTGAATTGGGTAGGCTAAATTGTCCGTAGTATATATGTGTTAATAAGAATATATGGGTGTTTCCCAGTGATAGGTTGCAACTGCAAGGGTGTCCGCTGCATGAAACATATTCTGGATAAGTTGGCGGTTCATTCCGCTGTGGCGACCCCAGATTAATAAAGGGACTAAGCAAAAAAGAAAATGAATGAGTGAATGAAAATAAAGAAACCTCTTTGAATGAGAAGGTGTGTCCAAAGGTCTGAACCATATACATACACACACACACACACACACACACACACACACACACACACATACACAAACACACACACACTTGAAGTCAGAATTATTATAAGTAATAGAATTATTAAAAAATTATTATTATATTTTTAAAATATTTCCCAAATTATGTTTAACAGAGTAAGGAATTTTTCACAGTATGTCTGATAATATTTTTTTGTCTGGAGAAAGTCTTATTTGTTTTATTTTGGCTAGAATAAAAACAGTTTTTATTTTTTTACAAACCATTTTAAGGTCAAAATTATTAGCCCCTTTAAACTAGATACTTTTTTCGATTGTCTACAGAACAAACCATCATTATACAATAACTTGCCTAATTACACCAACCTGCCTAGTTAAGCCTTTAAATGTCCCTTTAAGCTGTATAGAAGTGTCCTGAAAAAGATCATCATGGCAAAGATAAAATAATTCAGTTATTAGAAAAGAGTTATTAAAACTATTATGATCAGAATTATTTACACACACACACACACACACACACACACACACACACACACACACACACACACACACACACACACACACACACACACACACACACACACACACACACACACACACAAAAGGTTAACCAAAAACAGCCAAAAACTTATTCTACCCTTCTGGAAAAATAAGTATTTTCCCTCTTTTTATCTGTGGCTCAAGTGAACTTACAAAGACACTCCATTATACTGTAGAAGGAATGCAATACTAATTACAGAACGAGAAAATTCCTCTAAATTTTCTAAAACATTAGAACTATTCATGAGATACTTGGACGGGGGAGGCTGAACAGAGTTTTTGTAGTATCCCGAAGTAGACTGCACCAACAGCAAAAAAACATTTGGGTAGGTGGTGCATGGGACACTGCGATTTTCCATTTTTTTTACATTCTGTTTCTGTGATCTCTTTATGTCCCCTCAGGCATCACAATAATGAAGATGCTTTAAGGAATTTGGCTGTTAATATTAATCTAGCTTGGCCATTTTCCCCACAAGACCTCAGCCTGCTGAACTGTGCTTGAAGACAGCTATATATAATCTCCTGCAGTATATACAAGCTGATGGAGCTATTGCTGTTAAAAACTTGTTTTTATGGGTGGCAGTTTTTTTAAACATTAAATGTCTTGCAGAATATAACACGTCTTTGTTTAAGAGTGGTTGCGTAACAGATTTATTCCAATGAGAGTTTGACTGCTTGTGGACTTTGTCCAACATGTTCTGCAGCTCAAATTGCAATGATGTGGGCTGTACTGTAAAATAGAAACCTAAATACTCAATGAGCTTTTTACTTTCACATTCAGCAGACGATTCTCTGAGAAGGACACGGTCTTCTGATTTTCTTCACTCTGCTTTTTTTGCTAACAAAGGTAAGAACATTTTGTAGAAAATACGCAGAATAAAAATCATTCAGATCAAGAACTTTTTGCAAGCATGAAGATGTCATTTGATTTTAAATTTAAATTGGTGTGCAAAAAAACACAGTAAAACATGCCTGTCCTGCATGCAGTGCTGTTTTGCAAGCATTGCTTTTTTGTATTCTAGTAGTGTATCTAATGACTTCCACAGATTACAGTATATTGTAAGGTATTTAAATGCATCAATCATTTACCAAAGTGTAAGAATTACCCTGTAACTAAAATAACAGGAGATATTTGTATAAGGTATTTATGTTTGAGGACTTTATTCAACAGTAGAGCATTGCATGCTGTTGCACCATTTGAAGAGAGAATTAATCACATACAGATTCACATGGCATAAACATATGCTTTTAACTAACACGATCAAATCCAGCATTTTATTCTTTTTGTGCAATTTCTGGTAACACACTGGAATAATGTTTCATTAGTTAATGAAAGTTATTGCATTTACCAACATGAACAAACAAAGAACGATACATTTATTACAGTATTTGCTCATGTTAGTTAATGTTAGGTTAATGAAAATAAAGTTTTTCATTGTTAGTTTATGTTCACTTACAGTGCTTTAATGTTAACAAGCATGAGTTCTGATGTTAAGAATACTTAAGTAAATGTTGAACTAAAATTAAATTTTAATTACGAGAACAAGTATTGTTTATTATTAGTACATGTAAAAAAAAATGCATCTCACTTTACAATAAGGTTTAATGAGATAATGTAAGTTTATCTCATGAAGCCTCACAGTAAATGAGACACATTTTTGTTTATGCTGCAACATTTGACCTATCTAGGGGTTATTTATACTCTTTAAATTGGTAAACACATGCTGGCAATTTTGTAAAGTATACCTTGCATGTGTGCAACTGTATGTTTGTATTTTGAATCTTTTGATTGATTTCGATTTATTCATATATTTGCATATCTAATGTTAATAAGCTGATATCAAGCCACATCTGATACATTGTCTGACCAATCCAACTGTATTTTTATTAATTTTTTTTTTTTTTACAAAAAATTCAATTGCAGTTTAATTGTGCTTTTTTAGGCTGTGTGTGAAAACATTGAATATCAATTATTAATCCTTTATCTATTATCTTTATATAACTAATATTAATAATGCATGATTATAAGTCTATCTGATAAGTTAATATAGAGTTTACCGTTAAATTTACAACATTAAGGGGAAAAAGAAATATAACTGTATATCATCCTCCATCTAGTGGACAAATCAGGAACAGCACATCAACAGCACACTGTACTTTGCACATTTTCCTAGTTATTTCACCATTTCACAAGTCGGTTGATTGTCGATATGCATGTATTTTGATAGAACATGTTAACGCAGTGTAGACGATGCGATTAGATACATTTTGATAGTGTTTTACCTGTGGAAATATAAAAAGTAACCACAAGGTGTACCCGTGATCAGATGTCAAGTGCACTACTAGAAAAATCGTCTAGAAATCCTTTGTGTTTGATGTTATTTAATTGACTGACACAGATACAGCTGTTAGTGTTGTATAGCACTAAACATTACATGAATATGCAAATTAGTGAACAACTAATAGATCTTTATCCGTGCATCTTCATCAGTGTATCATTCATCAGTGAAATAATCTGTTTCCTTTTGTTTCAGGCTTTACAAGATGTCTGTAAATAGCACTGAGAGTATAGACTATGATATAATCATTGAGAAACTTAAGACCATCAATGAAAACCAAGTAAGTCTGCCTATCAACATAACCAAACCAAAAGACATCCGTCATGAGGTCGGGATGGCCTACTTTATTATATACTGTATCATTCTCATCCATGGCATCACCCTCAACTTCTCCATCATTGTCTTCGGCTGCTGCAAACACAAGAGTCTCCCGAAAGCTGCTATTTGGATCATGGCATTGGCAGCAACACATTTAGCCTCCTGTGTATCTGTCGTGTTTCAGCTCCTGTATGTTTACAATGACTTTAATTGGAATTATGGGGATGTTAGCTGCAAGCTGTCATCCTATTTCACCTACGGCAGCATGTTCTCCACTGCAAGCATGCTCAGTCTCTGGAGCATCAGTTCTATTTTTTCAAACAGCGCATGCTTCAACAAGAGCAAGAACTGTAACGTCATTCTGATTTCATTCGCCTGGACCATTGCAGCAATCCTGGCATGCCCTTCGCTGTTTTCAAGAGAGGTTAGAGAAAAACAGTGCATTGATGACTATGATTTGGACGACAATTCAGAAACTGCAGATGGCATCAAAAGGCTACAGACTGTAGTTGTCATGCGATTTCTCACTGGACTTTTGTTGCCAGCTTTGATAATATTTGTCAGCTGTTGTGTGGCATCAAAAACAAGAAAATGTAAATTGTGCAAGAAGCAGGCAGAGATCATCTTTGCTATAAAGATCATCTACTTTGTGTGCTGGGCTCCTCAAATTTTCTTAACTATGCTTCAGGCCACTGTAAGCAACAGCCTGGGCTTAGATATGCTGAATTATGGGCTGCCAGCAGTTACTATGCTTGCCATGTGCCATTGTTTTATCAGCCCACTCTTTTATGTATTTCTGGGACGCAGCCTTAAAATGGAGTGGATGATACACGACCCGTATGAGGATCATAGGCGTAGTGATGGGGAAAGCCTTCCCTTGAATAATTAGAAGTCAAATGAGGTTTGATGTTGCAAGTTTTAAAACAAGAAATGATAAAAGTATAGGATATATAGTATGCAAACTGATACTGAATACCTTATACATTTTTTTTCAGCTAGAAAGTGAACTGTTTCTTTAAAGACTAAAGCATCCTTTGCTTCGACCTCTTCACATTTATTGTTTTCACTTAGCAGCCACACACACTGCCAAAATAAGCATTGCTAATGTAAAAAATGTTCAGCCATTTATTTTTTGTTGTATTCTATGTATTGTTTCTCTTTGGATGTACTATTGTTGCATTGAAAGGGTGACATAATACTTATATATATATATATATATATATATATATATATATATATATATATATGGCACAGTGGCTAAGAGGTCAGAATGTTTGCCAAGAAAGTCACTGGTGAGTCCCGGCTGGAAGAGGAAGGCTTTCTTTGTGGACTTTGCATGTCCTCTCTGTGTAAAGCAGAGAATAAGTTGAAGGAAAGTGGGTGAGTAAGTGAGTTAGAGGTATCTATGTATATATAGAAAATTAGATGTTAGATGTAAATAAGAGAATGAAGGACATTTTTTTTTTTACTGTATGCGTTTTGTATGTTTATGTAAAAGCTTATAAGAGTAACTTCCATTTAACCGAAATATTAAGTCAAGAGTTTTAAAAAATTGTACAATTATGTGTACATTATTCTCTTCCGTTGAATATTAAAAAGGCTTGAAAGAGCGTACACTAATGAAACCAATGTTTTTTTTATTAATTTTTTTAAGCATTTTAAGACTATACACATTGTAATATATTAACACAAATTATAACAAATAATAAGATTATATAATGGTTTAAAATAAATATAAAATATACTAATATACTATACTAATACTATAGTAATATACTATACTATATACAGCTTAATTGTTTTATGTTCAATCCACTTAAATGTGTAAAAACCAATAAGTTAACTTAAATTGTTCGACACAAATCACCATTTTTTAAAAGTGTATGAGCACTTTTACCTGAAGTACAGTCAGCAAATATGTTCTGTGAAAGAAGAGTATTGACCTTATTCTTTGAGATTGAAAATCTTTTTAGTTCAAGAATTCCAGTCTCGGTGACGAAGTGGCGCAGTAAGTAGTGCTGTCGCCTCACAGCAAGAAGGTCGCTGGGTCGACCCTCGGCTCAGTTGGCATTTGTGTGGAGTTTGCATGTTCTCCCTGCGTTCGCGTGGGTTTCCTCTGGGTGCTCCGGTTTCTCCCACAGTCCAAAGACATGCAGTACAGGTGAATTGGGTAGGCTAAATTGTCTGTACTGTATGTGTAGTGTAGTGTGTGTGTGAATGAATGTTTCCCATAGACGTGTTGTGGCTGGAAGGGCAAATCCTGTGTAAAATGTGCTGGGTAAGTTGGCGGTTCATTCTGCTGTGGCCACCCTGGATTAATAAAGGGACTAAGCCGAAAAAAAAGAATGAATGAATGAATTCCGGTCTCATTCACTTCCATTCAAATTTAGATGTTAAAAACAGTTAGTTACACTGCTTGATGTTGCAAACTGATATTTTCTCATTATATTATTCTGCTTTGTCTGTATTGTCATGAACACACTTGTTTGTAGAGCAAGTAGTTTGACAGTTTTTGCCGTTTATTATTCCTTGTAATTTCTCCCATAGGCAACTGAATTGCAAAAACGAGCGCACTTCCGCATTGAAGAATAAGGTCAATAGCTTCCTGCCTCTTTTCTTGTCAAAAACTCTAAATATGATATATGATGAAATGAATCTAAGAATGGTCTTGGAAATAAAAATCTGCCAGTGAAAAAGCCTCTGAATAGTTTGAGAGGATCATCCCACCTACATATAGAAAGAGCAGTGATGTGTGAGAACTCAACAATTTGTGCAGAATCTCAAAGCCCCAGAATCCAAGGAATGTAAGCATTGAGTATATGCATTCATCCTCATAATCAAGAACCATAGATATTTACATTAGATGTAGCCTGCCCTGTTGTTGTCTATTGGAGGGAATGTGTTTACAGAGCCGCCATTTTAGTACAGGGTAGAAATTAAGGATGCAACGATTAGAAATTAGGGTTGTACGATTATAGTTTGAGGAATAATCACGGTTATCACGATTATCATGCTTTTTTTTTTTTTCCATTTTAAAATACTAAATCACATGAAAAATACTTATATTTTAAAGTGTTATTTATCACTGCTCAGTGATATAATCCATCCATCTTTGGAAAAAAGTGAAAAATGCTTTTGGCATTTAAACATAAGTAATAATTTTACACTGAAAATAAATGACCGAACTAAAATAAATAAATAAATAGTTTTGTCTAATGTAAATTTAAGCATCATATTAGTTAAGTATTTCCCTTTAAATAAAACAAATGTAGTCAAAGACTAGGGCTGTGTATTGACAAGGGCTTCACGGTATGATACATATCACGATACAATATATACTGTTATAAATATTGTGATATATTGCAATAGTTTGTATTAGTATGTGTGTCTTTAGATTGACAACTTGATAAAGTCAGCAGATCAATTAAAATTACAATTGCAATTTATCTTCTATTCATTTCAATCCATTAGAACTGCACAGTGCGACTGAACAGAGAACTCACTAAAATGTATTAAACGCATATTGTTATTAAACACTTAAGTAAAATGTATATGCCACTAAAGTCACAAATAAATGAAATAAACAATTCATAAAATTAAAGCAAGTAAAACAAAAATTAAATGCATCAAGTAAACATAAAACTGGAACATAAAACAGTGCCCTAATATGGGGTAAACTATTAGAAACTAACAGTGCGACTGACAGCATCGTGAACATTTTGCTGTGAAAACCGGTCGCGCATAGGTAAATTGATTGAAAAATAAGTGAAACATTTTACATGCAACATGACTGCCAGCTGTGCTGCTACAGTCTTGTTTGACGTGTTGTCTGTTCAACGACAGGTCCTTCCATTTTATGCCCCATTCCTCCTTTGCAGTTTTCAGTAACTCTGCAATGTTAGTTGAGGTAGACGGAAGCTTGTTAATGATGTTATCCAGTGTAGTTTGCCTTGAATCAAGAGGTTTCGTTTTGAGGTCGCAGTGCCGCTAATTCATCTGTGTGGTATCTTGTTAAGTGATAACGCAAGTTTGTATTGTTTCCTGAATATTTTAAGGTAGATTTGCAAAGCTTGCAAATGGCATTTTTTGTCTAATTCATTACTCTGGTATAGTGTTAAAACCAAAGCTCTAAAAGCTGGACGTGCCTTTATATTTTCCACCATGCTTACTCTTGCTTGCTTCTGATACCGTACTACTTAGCGTATTGTTGATAGCGAGTTAGCGACATCTATTGGAGCGGAGGAGGAGGTTGTTTGGCACAACTAAAATCGATACTTCAGGTTGGACCATCAATACACTATCGTGAAAGAAATTATCGCGATAGTTAGATATATCGATATTTTTGCACTGCCCTATGAAAGACTGCAGAACCTCTGTCTAAAAGGCACTACCATTTTTCAATGGAAGTCAATGGAGGAATATACAACGCAGTCAGATATTTTGCCGAACAGATCCGCCACTTTTGGCGCTCATAAACAATCATAAAGCTCTCGTGCTGCTGCAATGAGGAGGTCTGCTGAAGGCGCGCAGCTGTCATGCTGTGAGGAGTTTGCGTCTTTAATAAACTACGGCAGTTTGCGATCACTGAACAGTAAGAATGATTAATAAATCCATATGAAACAGCCCCTTAAAAGTCACGTCTCGCTTTCGGGCTTTGGCGCGTTTCGCACTCACACACAAGCGTACCGCGCCAAAGCCCAAGTGATCCGCGCTCAGGCACACCTCTTCCAACCGGGCCAGGGCCGGCCAAGTGAACCGTGCTTGAGCCCGATTCAGCGCACTCACACTTCTCAAACGATCCGGGAAACGGGCCTGGGCACGGTACGGATGGCATAGTGTGAGTAGGCCCTCAGTTGCAGCAGTTTTGTTCCATGCAGAAACACGGTGTTAAGAAGCCTTTCAATTAATTAACCATGACAAATTAAACTGCGGTTAATAGTGAAATCGGTTAAGTCGGTTGATTGTTGCATCCCTAGTAGAAATTAATGCCAGATCAAGGTGCAGTGGAGGACAGTGGCCATCCTAAGCCAGAGATATACACATATATGCATATATCTATGCTTAAGAGTTTTCCCGATGGTCAGTATGCAAATATTTTTTTAAATTACGAAAATGATAATTTTATATTACTTTTCTACATCGATGGATAAGTGACTTCATGGGCATTGCAGTCAAAGAGTGTGTGTTTGTGTGCATGGAAATGTATTATCCTCCCTCCCAATTTAATTGGATCTAATCCATGTCTTCAAACACACCCCCTCTCCTGCTTTTACTTCTCATTCTAACACAGGGAGCGATTCGTTTGTTAATGAATCTCCATTATGAAAAACTCATTAACTTAGCCGACAATAATACAAGTTTCTGGTACAGCAGCGTCATGTTACATTTCATATACATTGTTGGCTTATTTTATTCAACAAAACTAGGATAAGCCTGGTATTTAGTGCAAGTTTGTGCTACTTTGCCTTATGGTGAACGCAGTGACTGTATTATCATCAATAACATTACTTGTTAAGCACAAAAGTTCATAACATACAAAAGTGTAAACTGTAAAAATGTAATACTAAATCTTAAAATGTTCTGCCTTCGTGCTTCGTTTTCTTTGTTTGCTCTTTACTACACCTGTACACAGCGCTAAAGTCAAGCATCTTCAGATTGGCACAGTGTCTTGACAAGTGCAGTTGAGTGACATTTGTCTTGATAGCACTGTACAAAACTGGCGGCGCTATTGACGCATGCTCAGGGTTCGTATGAGGTATCTAGTGTATATATCTATGATTAAGAACAAACAGAAATGTAACAGAGATTAGTTTTTTCTTTACAATACAAGAGAAGCAAGTTTTGTCATCTAAGACAGTGCAAAGGTATTTATAGGTTAAAAAAAAAAACTCAATGACTGTGCCTTGCCTTGCAATAATTAATAAGAGTTTAATATCTTCTTTCTGGATTTAGTAAAGAACATACACTTTGTTTTATCAGTATTTAAAGATTTAAACCAAGCAAAGATTGCTGAACAGCATCAAAAGCCACCTAAAGTTTAGCCTGCGTCTCGATATAAGCAGCACAATTAATGTGTCATTAGAATAAAGGTGAACATTTGCAACTTGCACAATTTGGCAGAGATTATTAATATATATTATATACAAAATAATAAAGGCCCTAATACAGAGGCTTTTGACACTTTATTACCAACTGCAAAGGCAAAGATTCAACACCCTCAGCTTGCATCCACTGCTGACTGTTCAACAAATAATTGGCAAACCAAAGCCCACAGTCTTTTGTGATAACCCAATGTTAAAGGTGCCATATACTGCATTGGTTTATTAAGTAAAATTGTTCTCTGACATCTACATAGGTTTATGGCTAAGGTAAGTAAAAAAAATGTCCAGAAATGGTTTTATAAGCTCATTTATTACTCTATTAAATGGTTTTTTTCAATCACGTGGTTCTGGTGACATGCAAAATTCAGATGGAGTGGAGAAAGTAAAAAAAATAATGAATGTGAGACATAGAGGAAAGTACCTACTTTTGTGATTTATACTATATTTTAAAGGACATATGAATAGAAAATAACCACATATGTTGGGCATAATCCCTATATCATGAAGAGGGCTGAGTTTTCTTC